CACTTCAAAATCCTCCGTGAATCCTTCCTACACCAGAGTAGAGCCAGTGCCAGACTAGGACAGAAAATGCTGTGCTCAACACCCGTGAAGAAGACTCCAAGCCAGCTTCTGCTGCACCAAGATCAAGGAGCATCAGAGCAGATCCCACAGGTATCAAAAACTTCCCACAAAACTAACTTGACCCCAGTGAAGGAGCCGATAACCAACCCTGCAGTGCTGGGGGACTCCCCTGCATTATGCAGGACAAACACGCGTGGCCCTCTCTCCCACGCAGCCACCAAATGAGCCTGGACCTGAAGCTCAGTGAGCAGAGGCAACGTGGCAGAAGGCGCATCAGGCTGCCGAAATATGCATGCTACCTGCACCCTCCTCACACACATGTTCTGAGGAGCTCTGTCTGGAAGCATTATCATTGCACCTCAAGTCTCTCCCTCTGCCCTTTGCTATCATTCCTGAATATGATCGTCGCAAAGCAGAAGACAAAAGAATAAAATCATATTCCAATAAAAGTTAACACTGAAGAGTAATTAAGATACCTTCCTGCTTAGTTTGGAATGTAAAAATAAATGCTGACATTGATCAAATGTAAAGCAGTCCTGGACTGGCATTTCTAGTACAGAAAGAAAAAAAAACCAGAAAGTTCTTTTTCCCTTACCAAAACTACGCAGATAACACAATCAATTAGGCAAAGCAACAGTAAATACATAGAAAAATACACACTTGTCTCGTGCTTGACTTCCATTCTCCTCTTCCCCTCAAAAGAAGTATTTTGTGATTCGAAAAGATTAATTCAAGATCACTGTAAAGCTGTAATCTCCGAGAGACCAACCCAAAGCAAATGGATTTTTCAGTATAGTCTGCGAGTCTGTTTAGACAGGCTGCATCTCGGTGCCCCTGGGCAACAGAGCCCTCACCCAGCAAAGCACTTAAGCCCGGACTTTATCTTACAGACATTAGTTGTTCCTTTGATTCACATGAGGCAGTGCAGATGTGAGAAGACAGGACAGACTCTGTTCCTCTTCTGTGAGGATCACTGGGGTGGTACAGGTCTGTATGTACCACCCTGCTTCCTAGAAACAGATGTTTAATCAAACATTTGCTTCTGTTGACAACATAGACCTTGACACTGAAGAGCAGGATTGCAATGCCACTCATCGGATACATCCAGTACTTGGACTCAAGTGTTCATTACCTCCCAGTTGCATAACCAGCTCTCCCTAGTATGTGTATATGTATTCCTCTCCTTTAATGAAAAAAAGGTTATCTTGGGCTCCAAATATTAAGGAGTGGACAGGATTTCAGCACCGGGTATTCTTCTGTTACTCCCTTTCATCCATAAAGATGAAATTTGCTCAATTTCTTGTATGACTAGAATCTACTTTCCAAATCTTTTCATTAATTGTGAATGATAATGTTTTAAGTACTTTTTAAAAATTTCCAGGGTTTTTCAGATTATATGCAAGTTTCTGCCAGGAAAAACAACAAAAAAACCCCATTTGAAGCACATGAAGTCTTAACTGATGCACACAGTAACCAAAACAACATGCACAAAACAAGTCCAAATAAAACAAGGAGGCCAACAGAATACGAAAGTCTTCCTGCAATCCCAAAAGAAATCATACATTCAGTATTCAAGAGACCTTTAAAAAACCTCTAGCCTCTTATGCAACTTTTAGCCAGACTGTGATTGGGTCGAATGGTAATAACAGCATTGATTTCAAGCAGTTTCTGGCTATTTATATATGGCTATATCAGTTGAGGATTTGAAGTCTTTAGAATCTTGCTGGCCTCATTATTCTTCCACATGAAGCCTCCGGAGCTTCACAAGGTGCTTGCTTAACACTACAGCACATGCATGCTCAGCCCATTAACCTGGGAATGCATTTTACACCAGCCTGTTAGAATTTATTTCCACATAAAGAGAAAAAAGCCAAGCTGAGACTATGATAAAAATCTTTGCAGTATATGAAAACACAATTGGGATGGACTTTAAATACTTCTGTTGCACCGCAGCAGTAAAAGAGGTATCAGTGAATTTTAGGGCTAAGGAGGGCAAGAATTATTATCTCATTTATGCATAGCACTCAGTTTCAATGGAATTAATTTATTTCTTTACTGGGATACTACAGTCTGAAAGTCCTCCTTAGAGCAGTAACTTTCAGGCTAAATGCTGCCAGCAGATAGCTGGGAAAAAGCGTATCTAACAAAAAAATGGAGGGACAAAAATTATTCCAGAGCATGCATTTTCTTTGGAACACCCATGGAGGACCAGACTTTTGGCTACCATAATACAATACAAAGTTACCGTACAGGAGGACATGTTGCAGATTAAAGAGGTAAAATACAAAAGTCTACAAACAGAGGAACAGGCACAGATAACAAGACGATATCCAAGGAACTCGTACTGCTAAACTGGTCTAGATGGGAGAACGCAAGTTAGCAGGGTTGAAACGTCAGCAAAGTTACTTCATTTGGTAAATTGCAAGTGATTTTCAATGTGGTATTTGGTAAATGGTGTTGGTAAAGAGGAAAGTTGAACCCTGAAGGTATGTGATGCCACGGATGTCACCCTCTTTCATACTCAGCTAGCCTACAGCTGGACCAGCAGTGTGCAACAAAAGAGTAATTTGGCAAAGGCAGTCTCTTGTCTGCTTGCAAACAGCGCATGAACCACCTGTAAGATTCACAAATATTTTGAGAGTCTTGAAATAATCACGGCACGTTGTGCCAAGGGATTTCAGCTCGTGACTTCTATTTAAAAACTGTTCACAGTTATGAGTATTATTTAGAATAGCCAAAAATCTTAATTTCTCATATCTGACAGCCATACAGGGCTGTACATGCTTGTGATTATGAAGCGGCAGAGCTATATAGAAGCTCTACTGGCTCCAGGACATTTAAGGAAAAAACAGCAACAAAAGTGTGCTAAGAGATTTTGTAAGGATTTTTTTTTTTCCTTCTTCTACAGTACAGATTGACCTTGCTTTCACAGGTCAATCTTATTTTCAGGGAAAGTTCTGCTAACCTTCCTAAAATGTGTGACTTGACATAAAGTCCTCCAGAACACAGTCTTGATTCAAGCATCCTGAGTTTAACAGATACACGCGGTCTATGCCTGTATGGGTAAATTAAACAGAGCCTGGGCATGGGTCAGGAAAACTGGGAAACAATTGTCTTCAGTGCTAAATGGCAGAGCTGCAGCCCAGCACAGCCAAGAGCTTTTCCAGACAATGTTTGGGCTCTGTTTAGAAGTTAGTACAGTATAGGGACCATTCCTATTAGCCCCAGTTGTCTGAGGACTAACAGAGCTGGCCCTGGCACTATTTAGTTTACTTGGAGAGACGTAGCCATGGAGTCCTCGAAAACAGCCTGTGAGTTGTGACCACTGGTGACCAGTGGATGTGCAAGGTCTCTCTTCCATCTGCTCTACTGTCATGAGCTGCCAAGCTTCTGAATGGTTTGCTGATATTGAGCTGCTTCCAATCTACAAGACTTCAGCATCCTGACACAAATAATGTATTTACAGAATTTGCAGCTCTGACTCGGAGGTCTGTGACACTAAGGTAAACGCACAGTGATGGCAGAAGGTAGTGGAATTCACACAGAAGTTCACCAAGGTGTCCAACATGAGTATGTGCCTCACAATTTCACTTTGGGTTGAAAATCCAAACCCATCAAAATCAGTGACAAAATTCACATCAACTTAGAACCAGAATTCCCCCTGCCAAGTTTACAAAGCTGAGGTATGCAAAACAAATGCAGGCTTCTTTTAACCGTTCCATTGGTGTTTAGATCAATCAGCAATTAATTCCCATGTTGCGCATGCAGACTTTGGGATGAGAACAAAACTGCTTGGCATAATTAGACCTGCAGTATTTCAAGGTCATTTGTATATTTTGAGAAGAGTCCTACACATAGTATTCTGCAGATCTAATGAACATTGCCATATGAGGCAGTCACAAGTGTTTTAACACAACACCCCAAGCTTTGAGCTGTGGGTAGCTCTTGCACTCCACCAGGCTTTAACAATCACTCAGGCTTTAGGGACAGATTCTGCTTTCACAATTAAGAAAAAACGAGCCTTGGAGTGCTTTGATTTTCTGATTCGCAGGAGGTAGATCAAACAGATAATGAGCAGAGTTAGTATTTTAAATACCACAAATATTGAGGATTTAAAAGACACTGCAAAGAACATTTTTTCAGTCATTCAGCAACAGCTTGAACCGGGTCTGCCTGCCTGTGCTATCTACTGTTGCTTCCAAATATGGACGACAGGTTGAGCACAGATTCAGAATCTGCCATTTCCTATCATTACAATTTTCAGATATGAGACCAGCTCGACAAGTAAAGCACCAGAATTCTAAATTTAGACAGAAACAGAAATAATGACTTGAATCACTTTAGGTTTGCTTTGTTTTAAAAAAGTATCCATGTTAAAAAGATCTCTTTACCTTATTAATTAATACATTTACAGACTTTTGGCTGGAAGGGGTAATTCTGTGGAAAAGAATTGCAAAATAATACATAGAAAACTGCAAAGATGAAACTCTGAATTTAAAAAGATGAGAGAATCCTATTTTCTTTGTGTTCCCCATTTTGCATCTCATTACCTTGTCACCTATATATGGCATTATACTATTCTGTCTACCAGGACTATTATTACCTTATCACAGAAATGTTTTTTCATAAGGAAAGTTCCTGCAGCCAGGTTTTTTATTACAGTTACATTGCCTCTGTATTGGTATTCTCTGGTGTAAAATTCCCTTCTATTTCTTCTTCCTAGTTAAAGCTAGAAAGTGTAATGAAAACACGACCCAACCCAACTGGACTGATTGGCTTAACACTATATGTCCACTATCCTGTTGTGGTTCTCTATGGGCTAGGTCGTAACAGCATCTAGCTGGGCACTGGAGACTGGCCTGCCACAGTAAGACAATGTCAAGTGCCCTCTACAGCATGTCTAAAGATCTTCCCACTGCATCATTTTAGCTGTTTTTCCTTTACCTCTCTGCTCGGATTTTGTATCTGAGAACAAAATAGGCAATTAGGCGCAGAGAGAAGAAGAAAATTCCAAGAACAATGAAGTCCAGGTAAAGTTTGGCATTTTCTACATCCAGTTCTCTCAGAATGGCCTCTGATTTTTGAAAATGGCAAGTATCATCTTTGTCACAATGCAGATCTTCTCGATCCAGTCCATAGATGGAGAGAATAACTCCTTCAAACCCGTATCTGGAAAGAAGAAGGATGGATTACAAGGAAAAGTCCTGATGATCTGTTTAGAAATACTCCACCAGCAATACAATCCCTGTGAAAGCTCGGCTGGAAACACCAAGGGGTTCAATATCATTCTGACACGTGTGTCTCGGGGCAAGTTCTATCCCTGCTACAATCAAGCAAATGACATGTCACGGGCGTTTTACGTAAGATTGAACAAAGAAAGAAGTTTTGCCTTTAACTGCTTCCAGTTAGCATAAAGTGCAATTTCTCCAATGAAAAATGTTAAAATACAAAGCAGACTAATTTCATATTCAGAAATTCCCCTTTTAAAGTGACATCATTAATTCCATTTTTTGAAACTAAGCAAGGGGGATACAATTACGATTTGAAGTCAGAAATATATTGAAACTGGCATAAATCTAGAACAGCTCTTTCCTTCCACGTGCTACAGTTTCACTGCCAATGCACAGTTCCCACATCTCCCCTGGCACTGGGTGCACTTAGGATTTGACTTTGCGAGCAGATACACCATCGTGGACCCCATGCGTATGATAGCACCCTCCGGCTTCACGAGACCCCCACACGGGCTAGACAGCAGCTAGACAGCCTCATTTTGAATTCTAGCTACTAATTCAGGGGGTGCGGTCTTTTAATCTTTGATAGGTCTCTGTGTAAGACCTCACTTGCCAAATGAGAGGGTATTTTAGCTTGGATTTTCTCAGCAGCTGGGGCAGGGTGGGGAAAAGGGGGATGGGAAAATTTGTCTCACCTAATTTCAGCTATAAACATTTAAGTGTCTAGTCTAAACTATCCTTCTGCGCTAGCCTCCAGAGGTTTCCTGATGGCAATCATCCCATCTTAAGACAGCTGTCTCAGACAGTGAGAGTGACAGACAGAGACAGGACATAAGGTGTCTGTGGTTCTTAAAATACTAGTTTAGATCAGAGATGACACAAATCCCATGCCTCTTGTGGCAGTGCTACTGCAAAACTTAAAAACAAGTCTTTATCCAACAAGTCTACCTAGGATACAGCAGTGATTTATACAACATTTTCTTCCAAAATGAGGTGCTGGCATCAATTTCTCAGATGGGCATACTGTCCCTACTATTTCAGAAATCCACAATTGCAAAATCCAGGAAGATTTGCATGCTGTGCAATCCCACTGAATTCAAGGGGACTGACATGGACTTGTGGCCAATAACCTGTACCAGATGTTCCTATTTATTTCACATCATATACATCATAAAATGCAGTGAGATAATGCGGTATACATCATATGTATGCTTATACTCTGAAAGAATGTGTTGTGAACAGTCTCTTTGGCACCCATAATAACCAACCAAACACGCAAAGGCAAACAAACAGCATTTCCAGATGGGAGGTTAATGGCCTCCCGAGCAGTACCTGACATAGGAAATGTAGGACATCCACTGGAGGTATGTTGGGATGGTATCAAAGCTGACAAAAAACCCAGAGAACAGAAGCACCGGGATGGCAGTAACTGGGCCCACAAAAGTGGCCACCTGTGAAGAGAAGGAATAGACAGGCTCTTGTCAGACAGCCAGAGAAAAAACCAAAAATTAACTTGCTCTTCCGTCTGATGTCCTGACCTCCAGTGAGGAAACCAGCCTTTAGAAGAGCAGACTTTCCTTGTTGCAAATCCTCTCTTCCATGCCAAATCCAAACAGGCAGTGCAAACTTATTCTTTAGGCAGTAGGGAGCGATGACATTCAAACCCTTCTTATCATGCTACTGCCCAAAATTATCACAGTTCCAAATACTAGGAAATTACTGATTTTTTTTGACAAGATTTCTTGTAAGGGGGAGGTTAGATGCTGTTTGTGGAGGAAAACCATAAACCCTTCTACCAGTTGACAACACTGCTGTGCTGGGATCTGTCCTTTAAAGGACTTGAACCCACCAAGAAGTTTACAGAGCAAGATGGGCACTGCGATTCCCTTCCTTCTCTGGTTATGAGACCCCTCTTTCTAAATATTATCCTTTCTCACTCACTCCCCACTGAGGACACATGACCTCCCTCCTCATTAACCCCACGTGAACAGTAGCTTCAACTAGACCTAAAATGTTGTGAAGAGGATAAGGAACATCTACAGCTGGGTGGCTTTGGTGGGGAAGATAGATCTTTACCCAACGCCAGCCTGTCCTCTCTACATCCCCGCCAGGGCAAAGGGCCATACAGGTATCTCTGGGGAGAGCAGAAGCACAGGGATCACACAACAGGGCTATATTGGTCTCCACAGGGTGGTACAGAGAGGGAATCAAGTCTTCTGCTGCAGAAATCTTGATAGCATCCATGCATACATATGCCAATATCATCTGTTATCACAACCACCACAAAACAGTTCTGCTGTGGAATGGTCACCTCAGCACATCTCCTGCCAGGAAGCAGAATGGAGTTATACAGCCAGCATGCAGTGTGACAGTCAGCCAACAGCTGCTTCCCTCCCTCCCTCTGCAGAAGTTTTGTTTCTGGGCAAGCCTTTTCCTACCTTGCCTACTGCAACTTTTTTGTATCTGTATGGAAGAACCCTCTCCTGAGCTACTGATCCTCATGGCCTACCTCCTGCGGCTTCTAGGACCTGCTCAGCCTGGGATGAATAGCAAGTGACAACCCACTGAAGCAGGGGCAGGGACAGCCCCATTCAGATGGGGAAGGAACTTCAGAGCCTCCCATCCAGTCTGTGTATATGCTGTTTAAGTTGATGCTAGTGGGAAGCATCAAGTAGCTATATAGGACCAAGACAACTTTTTGCCTGTCATCTCTCAACAAATGTCTTGAGGATACAGCAGCAGTCACAGTAAGCAGTCAGTGTTAGGAGACCTCAGGGTTCGTGCGAGACCACAAAACACCAGCAGTACCTGGAGGGATGTAGAGGCTGCACCTATGAGAAGACCCAGTGACTGAGCCACGAGGGATGTCATGGTTCCCAAGGCTGCGAAGAGGACAAATCGGAGTGCATCAGATGGCTGTGAAGTCATCCAGTACACAATGCTGCAGTAAGCCACAGGAAACATGATCTGCAAGGAGATACGCTTGGAGTTAGTCTATTAAACTTTCACTGTTACTCCAAGTAAGATAAAAACATGGGGAGTTCTAGTTAATCCACAGCTCTCGGCCCTTTCCATTACATGACAGGCATGGCTGAAGAGAATGAATAAATCTGCCACAGACTGTGATATCTACCTTAGTACTTGGGCATTAGAAAACAGACCCCATTCACTTATAGCCCTTTTCAATTCCCTTTCCACAAAAAAGCAGATGGTCATCTGTTTCTTAAAAAAATACTGGGTCAGGTCTCAGCTTTTGTGAAGTCCTGCTATTTACTCTTAGGGTACTTCTGATTTGGACCCGAAGCTTCAGCGCACACTTATGGACAGTTTCTCCACTATTCAGATGTATAAAATACCAGTACTAATCTTCCTGGCAAGTGGACTTGCCATGAACTTAATCGGTTCTTGTTTTATCGAAGAGTAGAGCATATACCTGAAAAGGAACATCAGCCATGGTTTTGGCGAGATAGTAGGCTTTCAGGCTGTACCAGTAGTTCAGATGCTCTCTAAGAAATACTCCCATCTCAAGAGGAACTACAAAGAACACAAATTAGTAAGTTAGGTTGTTAGTGTGCAATACTGTTGCACACGGTAACATAGTTTATCCATATCTAATCCTACACAGACGCAGTCCCGTAGTGGGATTGGAACTCTGAGGCTTTTGACAGACCAGCAATAATTTCAATGATCTGTAATGAAATGTAAGAGCTGCTCACTGTTTAGACTATGTGCCAGTCTACTCAGATGGGTCTGAACCTCCCTTAAAGAGACTTTTTGAATTAAAAGTGGTGTCAAAACTTAAAGAACCTGGTTATTCCTTTTGGTCCAACAGGGAATCCAAACTAAAAACACTCCCAAAGGAAGTATGGAGCCGTCCATACTGCAGCAATTTGCTTCTGACACCACATGAATATGCTGATCTTATGCAGGAATCATGACTTGGAAGTCCTAGAGAAGTTATTACATCCTCCCTAAGACGAACCACAAGCTCATGATATGGTTGAGATGCACTGGCACAAGGGGAAATTCCAGTCCAGGACTTTTAACAGTGAACTATCTAGGTTAAGAAACACTGGCAAAACTGGGGAGAGGGAGGTGCCATTGGACAAGCCTGTCTCTCTTTGCCTCTACACTGCAGTTTACTGACTGCAAGATTTATCCCCACACCTGTCTCAGAAGTAGAAGCACAAGTCAAACGCTAACTTAGCATTTACAGATACATTACAACACCCTCCCAGCTTACTACAATCTCCTGTCCATTGATGTAACAGTACAACTGGTACTCACATGTAAGGACAGTTGGCATGAGCGCAGCAAACATAAGAAACAGCATGGAAAAAAAGAGGAAGCCAGAATTGCTGAGGACTTTCTTTGCTTCATTGCCAATGCCTAGGTAGAGCAAGCCGATGAGCAGTCCAATGCCAATGTGTGAGGTGATACGCAAGTGTGTCAGGACCTACAAGCAAGGAAAGAGTAGTATTTCTGATCAGAAAGTCTGGGACTCAAACCCAATGGCAATACGACTGAAGTAATATATACAGATTGCAGAAAAGGAGTACTTATGTCCAACAGAACTTATACAGAAATGGTCATTTCCTATTGGCAAACTGGTCTTCAGCTAAGGAAAACTTCTGTTAATGAGCTTCCCAGTGTCAATCAGACATGTGGCTATTACAGTACAGAAATCTTCTTCCCCTTAAACACAGGCAGAAACTGCAAATGCTGCAACCTGAAATCTTAGTGTCTGACAGTGTCATGGAGGCATTGGCCCACATTCATCAGGAGAAGGAGACTTTCTCTCTGAATAAAAGATAATCCCAGAGCACAAGAGAGGCAGAAACAGTATTTCCGGCTTCTATAGACCAAACTAACTTAACCAGGCATAAAATTAGCCTTCTGTGCCTTCTCTGCAATACAGTACTCCTACAAGAGGTATGAAAGAACAAAATAAATAATAAAATTTGGAACAACTGCAAGCCTTTACAGTTGGGCAGGAAAAAAAAAAACAATCTTAAAACCAACACTGTTCTTCTATCTGTGTATCAGAAAATAAGTTACAGCTTCCTCTTCGTGGAGACGAGGAGAGGACCGTATGATCGATGGTTAGTGCTTGCACACCTCTGAGATATAGAATCATAGAATCATAGAATGTTTTGGGTTGGAAGGGACCCCTAGAGGTCATCTAGTCCAACCCCCCCGCAGGAGCAGGGACACCGCTAACTAGATCAGGCTGCTCAGAGCCCCATCCAACCTGGCCTTGAATGTTTCCAGGGATGGGGCCTCCACTACCTCTCTGGGCAACCCTACCTCTCTGGGCAACCAAGATATGCTCTCCAAGTGTACCAGAGACACTCTGATCAGCTAGTTGAGCAACATGGAGAATGTGAAGCTGTCTGTATGTTTTGGATTACAAGAACATGAACATGTCAATTTATTTTTGACCAAATATTTGGTAGTAGACCAGATGTGCAAACTATTCAGATTGCAAGAAGGCGAAATTCAACAATTTAATTAATCCTTGAATGACAATGCACTATCATGTAAAACAGCATGGGAGAAGCACATGTTATGGCAAAGAAATGTGCTGGCGAAACAACAAATGGTCATAATATACATATGGTCTAGTAATAAGAAGATGCTTCCTAACTACTAGAATTGCATGGTTCTGCCATATCTTCCCAACCAGAGCGGTGGGGAAAATAGCTGATTGCTTTTACCATGGCATTCAGTAGAGTGTTTCCCTTTCTGAAAGGGAAGGAATACTGTGGTGATCTGACAGCAGAAGCCTGGACACCATGGTCCAGCAGGTTTCTTCCAGGCCTGTAGTTCTCTGTGGACATGACTACACTGGAAACGGTAGTGTCCTAAAGAGATACCTGCCTGGGTGCAAGGGAAAAGCATAGTAGCTGCAGCATCTGGAGCTCAGCGAAGCTCAGCTTACCCTGTCACAAGGGTAACTTACTAATGCTGAGCTCCACATGGGTCAACTGCTTCTGGTTTCCAGACTGCCTCATCTGAATCCACCACACGCCCACCAGCATAGACACATATCTGGCTTTCTCCTTTTCTAAGGACAGGTTATGTCAAATTAATACATCAATATATATTAACGCATATATTGTCTTCCCCCCCACCATGTAAAACACTTACAACCTTCCAACCTTCCAAGAAAAAACAGCAGACAAACCCTCCTCAGATTTATCAAATTGCAAATTTGCCACAGATAAAAGCACTTGGCCAACCAGTACCAATTATACTGTAAACAGGTGAGTTCCTTGGACTGGTGTGCATGTAAGGACTAGTTGAGGAAGCTCATCTCCTCAACTCATGCCTGTTAATGAAGGGACAATGCTATCTAGAGGACATTTCAAAGCATCCATCAGAGAATGTAAATAGTTTTCTCTCTTGAATTCACAAACAACTCCACTACTTAGAGATAAGAAAAACTTCCTTGAGTAAAAAAACCTCAAAACATCCCATTGCATTTTTTTAATGCAAACTAGGCACCCAAAACATATAATGAACATACATGAAAACTGTAGGGTTTGGAATTTTGAAGGGGGTGGTTTATTTTTAAGAAAAAAGGTGAAAGGTGTGAGTTTTTTCCTTGGGAATGAAGAGTTTCATGATGATACTTACTTCATCTTGATATTAAATGTATGAAAATAGAAATGTTCCTTTTTCAGAGAAGCAGAATTTTTATTTACTAATTTTCTCTTTCAAAAATAAAGACTTTTAAGTATTAACCTTATACCACACAGAAATTATCATCTCCACCCTGAATCTTCTGGAAAAACTAATTTTGTGACACACCAGTCCAACTTCTCCCTCACTTTTCAGTATGATAAATAACTGTATAAGGGACTTGCCAGCACAGAGGGGATTTAAGCTTTAGGTTTTTAGCCCAGATGCTTCTGAGTTCCTCTGAAGAAAACTGTTGTTCACAATGAAGACAGTACAGTTAATAGCAAGACTGAAATATCAGTCTCTTTCCTTTGATATTCTGTGATGATCTTCATGCATGAGCCGTTGGACAGGACCTTTAAGGCATATTACACTACCTCACAACCAACTGAATAGACCTTTTGGCTGCAAAAGTTATTATAATGGCAGTCTTACCGAATCCCTCATGATGGTGAGAAAAGTTCTTTTGAAGAGGATACAGAATTGGGTTAGGCAGCTGGCAGAGAAGCTGTGGCAGCCTTCTGTGGAGGAGGAATCCTGCGGAAACATATAAAAGAATAAACTTCTTTCTTTGCAGTATCTTGCTTAGTTTTCATTCACAAAACCCCACTCTCATCAGCTGAATGTGCCCAGAAACCTCCTCCATTGACCGAGGATTTAAAGTCTCTTCCTCCCCCTCCAGCCTCAAGCCGTGCGCGTTAGTTGTGATATACAAAATACCTCTTCAGAAGGCCGGTGCCAGAGGAAGGGATTCAACTCATTCTCACCGCCAACATCTCTCTTGTAGTCTGTGTCACATATCCTCTCCCTCACTGCCCTGACCAGCCGGCCGTTCTGGTCTCCATATTCACCAGATGCTACTTCCATAACTACAAAAACCAGAAGGTAAGTTACTGGTTTACACTACTGACTAGTCACAAGACTTATTATTAGATCCCCTTGATCCTGCAGCATTGACAGAAATGGGAGTTTTGTCTAGAACAGGCTCTAAAATGCCACACACAAATTCATATTTAAACACATGTAATTTAAATGTATCTTTCTATAAATCTTCAGAGTTCTCTTCACCCCAGAAGTTAATGAACAACTTTAGAGGAAAAGCAGTGAATATGGAGCAGTCTTGGTAATAAAAAATGACCAAAGTCTATTTTTGTGGTCCTTACTGCTTCTTTGGAATTAAAAAACAACAATGAAAAAACCCTCAATGCTATTAGCTGTACAATACGACAGTAGTATTGTTCAAGATAAAAGAACAGAATACTGGAGCCACTTTGAAAAGCCACTAAGATTAATTACTATGAAACACTAAAGAGTATGCTCATTTCTTGGACCTGGATTTCCACCAGAGAGAAATATTCACCAGATTTTACCACTAGATGGCATTCAAATGACTTTGAAAAAATATGAATAGTTTTATTTGCATTTTTGGTATATATAAGTACACATGCACATATGTATGTATGTACAAAAGTATGAAACACACCATGGTCCCCATCACCCTGAAGGTGCTTATCAAATATAGAATAAATTAAATAAACAATTCAGATTGTCCTTACCAAAATCTGCTGGATTGTGGTAGGTTGGGCAATTCAACCCCAAATCTCTCAAGTAAGGGACTAGGTTTAATACCTTCCCACGGTAAATGCATTGACCTTGACTTAAAACATAGAGCTGGAAAACAAAGCAAAGCAAAGGAAAAAAAAAAAAAAGGAAAAAAAAAAGTGAAATAGTATCAAAATATTTGAACCTGCTATCTGTATGACAGCAATCCATGAACCTAATGACCTCTTCTTGTCCCTGTGGGAAGAACACCTTGGGAAGATTTCTCACAGCTTGGAACTACTTTTGCATGGAATTACAACCAATGGAAAATGAAGTGCTTAAGGTTTCAATTCTGTAAACATTCCCACCAGGACTTAAAGCACATTAACAGAGAAACAGACTAATTCCAGCCTTAGACACATGCTGAAAATAGGCAAGAAACTATAGAGCCGAGCCATCTAATTTCCACACATCATGGGTATTTTGGGCTGGGAGACGAGGCTGATGAATGCAGGAATGGAAGGAGGGGTGAAACAGCACAGCAATGGGAAACAGCTTGATTATTCTTACTTTTAGCCACACTGTTGACTTTAAATAAACCTCCTTGCCAGATTGGCAATCTGCAAGAGCTTGTCCACCTATGGTGTTTTCTCTTAGCTCTCACAGGTCTAATTTAAATCTCCTAACAAGATTAAAGTAAATTTAAATCTAACCTAAACACACATGATCCACATCCTGTTGTTAGGTTGGAGAAAAGATCTCCAAAGGACTTAATTTCAATTATTATTATTCCCAGTATGAATAAACTCATCTGAATTTACACCTGTGTAGCTAGCATGAGAATGTGTACTAGCAACATTGCAGACATTGGCACTAAAGCTCTCTTGCTCTTAAATTACTCTAATTTAGTTTACTGACAGCCCGGTGCCCCAGAGCAGTCATGGGTGAAGGCATGAAAATCACAAGTGCGATAATCATGATTTCAAAAACATACCAGCCAGATTCTTTAAAAACATTGCAGGTACATAATAGAAATGGACAGAGAAGAAGAAAAAAGCATAATAAAAAAGTGTATTTTGCTCTTATTTATTTAATGTCTTTATTTGATTTAGAGCAACAGACTTAGAACTATTCGTATTTTTACTTCAAGAGTGTAACCTTGAGAGTATAACCTCCCTAAACCACACATAAAGAGAAAGAGTTTGAGAATAATACCTGATCGAACAACTCGAACAGTTTAGCACTGGGCTGGTGAATCGTGCAGATGATGGACCTGCCACCCTGGGCTAAAGCCTTCATCAGAGAGACAACTTGAAAACATGATGCACTATCCAAGCCGCTGAATAAAAAGAAAGAAGTTTGTTGTCCACAGGTCCACAGGCACCACTCAAAACTAGCACACGTATTTGCTACTTTGGTCTCTCACTATTATCCTTTTATAAATTTTCTCTATAGCAGTTTAATTTTATCATATGCCAACCTTATGCTTGTATTTCTCCATCAGTCTTTTAATTAAGTTGGAAGCATGCCTGAGAATGAAAAATAGAGTATTCTCAAAGCTGCCTGAAGGGACTTCTACATTTTAGGGCTGCAGATTTAAATGCTCCCAACTTTAATGAATAGATACCTATTCATAGCTCTCCCAGCCTCCTCCCAGACTGATCACAGAATTTGATTCTAAATATGCTACATTCATTATTAAAAGGCACACTTTAAAATGCTTATATTAAGCTATCTTTGCTTGAAAAAGAAAACTCATGCCACAATCTTAAAATATTTTCCTCTCTGTCTTCCTTCCTATTTCAGTTTGTGTCCCATGGTCTGGCGGTTACAGTAGTGACCCAAGACACTAAGGACCCAAATCAAATTATTTCTTGTGGCCTTAGTCAGTACTTACAGGCAACACAAAATGAGCCTTTCCCAAGGTGAATAACCTTTCCGCAGCACTTTTCTACTATATAAAGCAATAGGCAACCTGCTCTAGGTGAACCTGCTTTAGCAGGGGATTGGACTGGATGATCTCCAGAGGTTCATTCCAACCCCTGCCATTCTGTGATTCTGTGACTCTGATTTATCTATCCTAAATTTTTGGCTTTGAAGTACCTGGTTGGTTCATCAAAAAACATGACGGGAGGATTGTTCACCAGCTCCAAAGCAATGGCAAGACGCTTTCTCTGGCCTCCAGAAAGACTCCCAGTCCTTGTATTGGCACATGTCAGCAAACCGAGGGCTGTCAATATTTCCTTTACCTAGAGGAAAAAACAACAACGCATCATTTGAATTTGTTAGCACAAAAGAAAAACCTCTTTACTGATTTTCATGAAGAATATAAATTAGCTCATGGCTTTGTTTCACCATCCATACACCAAAGCCTTTTTCCATCTAATATAGCACTTATTAGATTCAGTGGGCCTTAACAGTCTACCATTTACTGTTTTGACCCAGATTCTACTTGTTTGTCCTACATGACCTGTCTCAGTAAGAAGCCTTGCCTGTGAAAATGAAGAGGAAATCAGTTCTCCTACAGCACCCCTTGCACATGGCACCGATATCACAAGAGCTTTGCAGCGTATGAGGAGTTATCACACAGTGAAACCAAGAAGCTTCTTTCAATAGAACTTCCAGGCTATTATTAACAAGGGACCGGAGAACTGCATAACAAAAATCAGTGGTTCTATAGAGCAATGACCTGCTCTTATCTCATCTGTTCCTCACAGTCTACTCTTTAAAGTGTGGCCATTGATTTTAAATGTTTTCATTCTCCTCAGAGCCTATTCAGTTGTCACACATACTCTCAGATGTTTGGGATTTCCTCAAGGCACAGCTTCAGGAAGGGCACAGCTTGTCCCAGGGTCTCTGGAGCAAAACGAGGACAATCCCAGCCACTATGAATTTTTCTGTTTCAGTGATTGTAGATCTGGCCTGGTAGCTCTATATGAGGAAAATAGCTCTTTGGCATCAGTAAAAACATGGACATAAAAATGAGTGAATCCAAGCAACATTGCTCACGCGATTAAAAAATCTACCACTTAAAAGCCCAGACATTTAATACTTCACAGAAGTATATGAAAAGGACCCTGTCATTTTTTAAAGTAATAGTTGCTTGGATGGAGGGAATTTTCCAGAAAGGGTGGCTAACATAGTAAAAATTGGTTGGATCAACCAGGGCCTGACCTTTCGCTTGTCCTGATTTTGATTTCCAGGAGCTACCTCTCTCAATCAGAGGGGGTGAAGAAAGGACAAACCCCACTAATCCTCACTCTCCGAGAGAAGAGCCCAGCTACCTCCTTCCCTTTATCTCTAGGAAAGATGCTCCAGGACATGGGCAGCACAAGCTAGGTCAACGAGAAACATAAACTGGTTCACTGGAGGATTTTTCTCTCTTCCCTGTTCTAAACAAGCATCTGTAATCTTGCTAACACAAGTGCACGAATTCATAAAATTTATCTATGATAAACATTTACCTTACAATCCACAACAATAAAATGAACTATCTAGTCCAGCATAGGCCAGTAACACTAACCAGAAAATGACTGCCCTTCTAAAATGTGTTGAATAAATGCATACAGCACAGGTTTTTCTTCAAAGAGCTGTTTGTAATTACAGTGACAGTGTGAACAAGTGAATTAACTTGCTTGGCCTAACTTACTAAAGTGTAAATTAATTAAGACTTTCAAAGTACAAATAAAATTAACAGCTGTTTCTAAACAAATGTATTTTCCAATTAAAAAAATATCTTTGTTTAGCTTATTAAAGAAGTATTTGAGAGAATCAGAGCAATCTTAAGCTACCAAACATATGTTGATTTCTCTAAGTTTCCCTCTCTGGAACTCTTTCTGAGTTTCAAGGACTCTCTGAGATTGAAGAAATGCCAAATGTTCCGATTTAGAATTAAATACAGACAGAAGACAGCCCCCAAAGTGGCTGCTCTACCTTAGAAGTTGCCATAGCTTCCACATTTCAGGCAAAGGGTATGCTGTTCACCAGGTGGGTGAGAAGCAGTTTCACCTTCTCCTTTATAAACCTCTGCTTAAGAATCACATGCCAGCTACTCAGTCAGAGGCATCTTTTACTAGAATAAGAGACTCCTCTGAAATTATTAAGTCCAACAAGTCAAGTTCAGGCCTCCATCAGATAAAAAAAAAAGAATTAAACTGGCATCTGGGGAAGAGCAGGAAGCCTCTCATGTCCCTAAGAGAACAGGCCACAAGTTTCTCATGTCCATCCTCCACTCCCACTCCTGTGTCCCCTCATCCCCTCCTTCCTCCTGCACAACTTGGTTTCAGTTGAGTCCTGCAAGGTGGCTTCTTCCAGTCACCTGCATGATTTCCTCATTTGCCCACAGAGGGTCTTCTCAGCGCATGGCTTCAGGAGTACAAAATGCACCAAAATGAAAATCTCACCCTTCTTTCTATTTATGAAAAAAGAACTCTGAAAAATCATGGAAAGCCCAAAATTTGAATTTTACAGGAGTAAGAACAGCAAAAAACCCGGGGAGCTTCCTATACCAATAGTAATTGCCTTTTCATTGGTGGGACAACTGAGTTGCTAAGCTACTAGAAGACTTGTCCAGAGTACCATACATGTCTCAAACAAAGGCAGAAGGAGCAGCCAGCTTTCTTAGAAGGTAAATCTCAATGTTAGACATGGGGCCATGTTATCACATGAGCCCCATTAGCCCTCAGCATAACCCCCACACAACAGAGGCTTCCTCCTTAAGGAGGCAGTGTATGAGAGATCATAGTGTCTCCTTGTCAGTGGCCTCTTATGCTGGACTGAAACATAGCATCAGGCCACCCAAAACACCTCCTAACACCTTCCGAGCTACCACTTCACTTCTCACAACCCTCTCAAGAACCTAAGCCATCTCTGCTTTCAGCAGTGCTGTGATTTTTTGTTTATGTTTAGCTCCAGACATCATCCTCCCCGGGCATATACGGTTTTGAAACACGCTGTGCAGCACCAAACTGTTCCTCTCCTAGGCTTTGGCATGCTCTGGTAACTCCACCCAAGTACAGACAAACGTTTGAGCTCTGAGTGCCTTTACGAATACACAGACCCAGACATTTTAAGTGCAGAATAGATGCGAAGCATGGCACATTTCCAGCCCTTTAAAGTACAACTGAGGTAACCAAATTCAGTTGAGAAAGCTGACATGTCAGAAGCCATTTTGTCTGGTCACACACCTCCATGGTATTTTCTTTAAAAGGACAGCCCTGTGTCAGAACCATTGACGGGAAGGAATCATGGCAATCAGATGGATGAGAGGAGCATGCTTCCTAGTGGAGGTCCAGCTGGGTTATAGGGCTCCATGGGCAAAACCACACCAGGACTTCTCTCCCATTCAGGTAAGTCCTATGTCACCCATGGGCAGAAGCAGGACCATTACAGCAAATGTGCGAGAGTAAATTGTGCAACTCATTCCCAGTGTTTTAGAAAAGCTACGTGTGTGTTTTAGCCCGGTTTCCTACTTGTCCAAACCTGTCATCCAACACAGCTTCAAAATATGTTAGCCTGTATCTTAACTGCAACTGCATTAACTTGTCCAGATCGACACTTTCAAACACGAGCACCAAAATTTCTGCAGCAGTTACAAGAACTGCTGAGTTTTTCATTAGTCCTTGGAAAAATTAAGGCCTACACTCACCACTGCCAGACATGACTGATATATCTTGCCACATATGAGATGCCTGAGCCCTCAGACATGCATGTAAGAGAATCTAATGTGCTAAGGTACATTAAAAGGAATCCTGCAAAAACTGTGAATTTATTTCAGTAGATCTTTTACAATTATCTACTTACTCTCATGGTGAAAGCAACTTTCATAGAGACTGTAGTAAATGTTCCCTCATAACGATAGCTGTCAACTTTGAGGTTATTACAAGTCCAATGAAATTCAATGTTAGATAAAAATGTCTGTTTTACACAGCTCACTTCACGGATCTCTTTGGCATCCCCCAAAATTCTCAGTTTGATGGACAGCATACATACCATTTCTCTTCTGCCTTCATCTTTCTCTTGAAGTTTCAGATGAGCAGATACCTGGAATGCAATACAATGGAATTTGATTTTGAACTGGTCTGAAGCACAACAACCAGTTACAGTGGATGTCTCAGGCACAACATCCCAATGTACCATTTAAACAACTCCTTTCAACCCAGTCAGGAAAGTTTAAGTTGAACTATAATATTCAAATCACAAGCATCACATATGCCTGTGCAGTAGGTAATTGAGTATAATCTGACTTAAGCAATCACTCCAGCATCTGACAAAAAGCGTATTAGAAAGAAAGGCCATTCTGCAAGTCAAAGAGCTTGAGAGGAAGATGGCAGAGTCATGGTTTTTGCATAGCCACTAACTTCCCAGGCAATTCTAGAATCACAGTTTATTTCTGTTTCATCCATATCATAAGAATAACCAAACTCTGCCATTCTCCAGGGTGTGAACAAATGAGTACAAAAATAATCTTGTGAAAGATGTCAACTGCTGTCCTAAGAGGCAGCTCCACAAAACATTATGATTAACCCTTATTAGAAGCAATTAAACTGTTAAGTAATTATTTTTGTCAGAGCCTTGATTGATTAATTTAGACAGCAAGTATCATCTGGGCCCAATTCCACAAAAGCGGTCCTATAGGATTTTGACTGTAATGTTCAAGTAAACAAAAGAGAAGAAAAACTTCCTCACAGAGAAGAGCCTTTGCAGAATATTAGCCACAGTGATTTCTTCTGGCCTTAAAATTTGTGAATTGATGCTGGCATACAGTATGAGCAGCCTCAGCCTTATTTTGATAACATCCTCTGAGAAAAACTGGCTCATTTCTCAAACTGACCAACAGATACTTCTAGACTGATTGGTCAAGCTGGCAATTGATGCCATGAAAAACAGTAAGAAGAATTTACGTTGCCTGTAGGTCTTGGGATTATTCTGTTGTTGTTGTTTTCCTGTGAAGAACTCCAAGAGATTTTATACAGTGCCTTTATTAAAGAAAAGGCACAAAAGAGTAGAAGTAGCAGAGAGATGATGCTCAAGTCAAAACAGCACTTTGAAGTCAGAGCATGGAAGACGGGGAGAGAGACAAGGTTACTCATTCACCACCCAAGAAAAAAAGATGGTCCCTAGAAAGGCTCATTCTGTGCAGAATTTCAGGTTCCATTCTCTAGGGAGGTCTAAGGAGCAGAGCCTTAGATCTTCTTCCAAATCATAATGCTCGTCACAAATTAAAAACAATAATGCTAAAGAAGGTTAGACAACCTCTAGAAAGATGAGCCTGAAATGGAATTCAAGGCATCATTGAAGTCCAAGCATTTTCACTGAGTGGGATCAAACAGAGATAACGGCTCAAGGTATTACCAGGAGTAAGAACACATGCACAACACACAGAGATTACTCCATTTTCTCCCACCCAGATAAATTAGAGCAAGAAACAAAGCTCACCATCATAGCCTCCTGAACAGTCAGATGAGGAAGGAGCATGTCGTCTTGCATGATGTAGCAGGAGACTTTGCGAAAAGAGCGCAGGTCACGAGGCTGCCCATTGATGAGAATTTCTCCCTTCATTCCTGTCTCTCTGAAACAAAGCAAGAAAATAACCAGGGGTGAATCTTGCCTTCACTTGAGCTGCCACAGGCCTCAGTATGTGGAAGTCTTAGGTAACTATTGCCCACTACGGAATAAAACTGATACAGCAGATAGAAATGAATTTATTTTGTGATTACACTCTCTTTCATAAAAGGCTTCATGCAGTGTTGCTGAAAAATTTACTCAAAGTTAGTACAAAATGTGTGCTGTCTTATATGAATGTCTGAAAAAATATCAAGCCATTCAAGTCTTTTTTTTTTTCGGTTTCTCTATCCTGTTCCTTATGCCTTAATGACAACAACACAGAGGCACTTTGTATCTGGCCATACAGGGGATTCAGGAAGATGGACCACAGTCACTTTGCACGTTGCAGTTTGGTCAAGACAACATCAACATTATGAAAGTGGCAACTAAAAAGGGTCATTTTTTTCAAGTGTTTATAAAATGTGATTTAAAAAATATCACAAACATAACACACTGAGTTAGATTTGTTACACAGCTAGAAAGGAGATTTTTTTTTTGTGTGTGTGTTGGACTTTAAATTGCTTTCTATTTTTGGATCAGACTTGTTAACAGATAAATCCTAAGTGACCAGAACAGGGCAAACAGAAAAAATATAAGCAATAGGAATGCAATTCAAAATCTGTGAAATACCTGTTTTCTGTCATCTCCAAGGAGCCATCAGGCTAGATGATCTAATCTTGGTATTTTCATTGTTACTGACCTGTATCCTGCCAGAATGTTCATGAGCGTTGACTTCCCAGCTCCTGAAGGACCCATAATTGCAACAAGTTCTCCGCTGCTGAACTTCCCTGAAATTCCTTTCAAAAGGGTCTTATAACCTGAAAGAAGAAAGAAAAGTTCACTGAACCCTTCACAATCACGTCTGGGGGTGCAATGAAAGTCCATTTCCACTAAACAAAGATGACAAATAAGTATTAGCAAGTACCTACTGAGAGGTTGATGCTAAGATTAGTACACTGCAATAACTATCAAAAGCCAAATTCTGAGGTGGAGCAACAGCTTCCTCCCGCTACAGAAGTAGTATGGTAGGATTACAGGATCACACGCTCTTGATTCACTCTAGGAAAATTTTCAAACTGGACTTAGAAGCCTTGCTGCCATTTTCTAAGTGTCTTCTCAGAGTATTTTACCAGGATGCTGGTGTCTCTCTTAGAGTACCTAATACTCCACAGCTAACTAACTCCACAGCCTTGGAGCAGACTGCCCTCCAATCACGGCAGCTCTAATGCCAAAACTCTTCTCTCTCACCAAAACAACAACTTCCTGGAGACAAATAGCCATGATCTTAAAGGCAAAGCCCTATGCTTTTGTTCATTCCTCGCTAAAAGAGGTATGACAAGAAACACAGCAAAAGGAGATACAGGGGAAAAGACAAACCTGCCTCATTCTTTTACCAGAAGGACTCTCTTATCATAAGAACTCTAAAGGCTTGTCTAGACAGGAAGGCTGACCACAGTAACTTTGTAAAAATAATTCCTAGGAAAACACTTAGTCCAGATTAAGAACACGCAGGGTTTTTTCTTATTTAGATTAATCCACTTCAGAAGATCATACCACAATAATTATGTCTTCAGGCAAAGCTGTTTGAGAATAACCACAACACCAACTTCAAATATCTCACCTTACTCCTGAGTAAATTACCTTTGTCAACAAACCTTAATTTAAACCCCAAACTCCATGTCATTCTAGGTGTTAGCAAACTGGACTCCAATGAGAATTCCAGGTTTGGGCTTAGTTGCATCCATCTTGCCCTGCATGATTCCCATTTTAAGGCATAAGGACTGGGTGGGGAGAGTGGAGAGAGCCCTGATTTTCCCTTTTATTTTTTTGCTTGCTTACTTTACTTTAATTAGCAGTGCTTTTAATTAAAACTTTTAATAATAAAAAAATGCTAAGGTGTCAAAAACAATCTCATATGTTGCAAATGCTTCTGTAATTAAATGAAAACCAAACAGAAGGGTGGAAGATCCATTTACATGCAGTGTTGGTATTTGGCAATCCATTTTGCTATATTGGTGCATATGCAGGCAGTATTTATATTCCACATGTAAACCATCCAAGTCCTGAGATTATGATTAGCATAGGTTGTAGCTGGAATGTTGAAATGCTGTAAAAAAAACTATGTTGTCTGCAAGGTCCTAGAAAATGAATGGTGGACTATCTTCTTCTGAGTTCTCTTTCTTCCTAACTCCATAATTTGTTTTTGCTTCATCCCTGCTTAGCATTCTCTTTAAATTTTCTTCTTTTCTCTCGTCTCAGTTCACACTCTTT